ATTTCTGGTAAATTTTCAGTTCAATTCATTCTTTATGTCACACTCACTAGTTATTGGTCGGTATCCAACATCCAACGATTACAAATATCGATATCGATATCAATTGCACTCACAGTTGTTTCATATTCTATAGCTTTAGGACTCACTCAGAATTTTTCGTCTACTATATATACGTGATTCGTTAAAGCAGATTAGATTTGAGCTAAATTGAACTACAAAAAATGATATCCAATCGATTCAATATAATTTCTCTAGGACCTGAGTAACAAAGTGAAAACAACAGAAGAACAGATCCGTTTTAAGAACTAGAAAATGACTCATTTTCCTATTTTGCTACGCAAGCGAGAGGTTGCTTAATTCATGTAATAAGGAATCAGAGCTTTGGAAAGAGCAAACTCATTTTGTACGAGTTCTTTTATGTCTTCAAACTTAATTACCCTTGCCTCCAACGTTGCTCCTGTATTTTGTCAAGTTGTCCCATGTTCTATCTCTGTGTTACACGAATTCCGAGATTTGTTTCGATGCACTATTGTTCAGAAACTAGTTGAATAAAATCTTCATAACATGCATAGAGATCAAACAATTCGATAAAACATTTAACAGCTCAAAACTAAGTTCTTGAGCTCTTCACCATTCAATTCCTGCAATTTTGCAACTGTCAAATTGCTACCATCGTGTTCCATTATTTTCAGAGAAGACTCCGCAAGCTGTAAGCGTTTGTTAATAGCAGCCAAGAAAAAAAGTTTACCTCTACAACATTATCGCTGAAGCCAACCATTTTGGCAACATGGATACCAAACGAGCTTTTAGCAACTCCTGGTCTGATTTCGTAGAGGAGCGACAGTTTCCCATCCTCTACACAAACAACCATTTGCATAGCTTTAGCACCTTCTCCTTGTCCCAACTCTGCCATTTCGTGAAAATGAGTGGCGAACAGACAGAAGCATTTCACCCGTTTAAGAAGATCACTGAAATACTAGTCTTAGAGAAAGTGTCCATAAACGCAAATTACTTCGCAATCGCATAAGCAAGACCAAAACCATCGAAAGTCGATGTTCCTCTGCCAAGTTCATCAACAATTACGAGAGAGTTAGAAGTTGCGGTCTGAAGAACCAACATGTTACTGATTTTTCGTATATGGCACCTCAAGAATGGATACACAATCAATCATTTCAGCCATAAAAGTTGATATTCCCCTTGTTTGCTGATCAGATGCTCCTACTCTAGTGTAGATTCCATCAACAATAGATATCTTTGCACTTGAACAGGGTACATAACATCCTGAACGTAGAGGAATTTAGGAGTACCAAGAGAGTGACTAACCAATTTGAGCCATAAGAACTGAAAGAGCAGTAGCCCTCAAATAAGTACTCTTTCCTCCCATATTTGCTCCGGTCAAAATAACGAGACGGTAGTTGTCTTGAGAGAAATTGGTTGGAAAATGCGGAAATAATAACACAAACCGAAGCTGACATCGTTGGGAATGAATTGAGAACTCAGAACAGTTTCTAAGACGGGATGACGGCATTTCTCTAATTCAAGCATTCCACTTCCTGAAACAAAGATAGGAAAAAAGTTAAAACTTTTGATGTAATAACCTAAGGGGTGTAACTCAGGTTTACAATATCCATTCGCAGAATCGGCCGATACGCTAGCTAATGAAGCCAACACATCGATCACAGCCAGGACAGAACTCAATTCTTGGAGAGAAGTAGCGTAACCCGCTGATAAAAAACTTTACACGCAAGGTAGCAGAAATACTTACAGCAGGTCTCTATAACCTTCTGTTCTAGCTCTTCTTGTGCGGACTGATACACATTGTTCAACTCTTTGTAACTGGAAAGCAGCCGTAAAAGACTATCAAGCGGAAAATTTCTACTTTTCGTTTAATGTTTTAAGAGCAGCATTAGTGAATCTCACTCCATTTCCTTTATTGATGTCTAAAACTGTTACGTGGTGAGAACTACGAATCTTCCTCTCCTCCTAGAAGAAAAAAGTTAAGACTGATAGTGTTATTTACTAACTTTGAAGACGCAACGATAAACGAAACCATACATGGTAGTATGCTCTAACTTGATATTATCAACATCAGACAGATCACTATGAACCTAAAAAAAACTAAATTCAAGAGCCTAAAATAAATAACTCACTTTTCTACGAGCTTTTTCACATTGAGCTTCAACCTTCTCCATATCTTCGGAAATTTGAAGAAGTTGAGGATCAATCTCAGGTTTAATACGGAATGCGCCATTCTTCTCATAGTAATCAGAATCAATAGTACTTTGAATCAATTGAATGAACTTCTCAAACTGCGCAATCGAAGCACAAAGAGGTTCCTGTGAACATATAGTATAGGTTGATCAGTTCGCTACACATTAACCAGCAAAAGTTCTTTTACAGCATTCGCAGTTTCTGTTTCACTGTCAAAAACGTCACGGACTGTTTTCTCAAAGCGGTAAAGAACGAGAACGCATTGGTAAAGACGATAACAGTCCTGAAGAAAATAACTAAAACTATTCAACTTTTTGATTCAACTTGAAGTTTCGCTTTGTTTTGAAGTAATTTTCTAGAGAGTTGAGACAAATCTGGGATGCGTGGTAAAAGACCATCTCGAAGATTCATTCTCGATTCATAATTGTTTATAAGAGCTGTGACTACGTCTTGTCTTTCTTGAATCAGACGAAGATCACACAGAGGACGAGCGATCCAATCTCCTGAAAAGTTTTAATTAAAACTATTATATAGGATAGTGACTTGCTCAATAATCTCTGACCAGCAGACGTTTTACACTTGTTTAACACTCCATATAATGTGATACTATTGTCTGAAGAATATTCGATTTTATTCAGTTCTACCCACCTATTTACCTTGGAAGTAGTTCAAATCAAAAAGCTCTAATGCATGCACTGCAGCAGAATCGATGTGCATATATCCTGATGTTCGGAAATCAGACAGACGGAATTTTCCGGCGTATCCGGTCTGCGAGCTCATATTCAAGTAATCGTATAGAGAGCAGAGAACAGACTTCAGATTCTCAGACATTTCAGCTCCTTTAAACATTTGAACCGTTGAATTTCAGATCTAAACTGACTTACCAAGATTCTTGTGATCGGCGTGCAATAGATTAGCAATGTCTTCATAAGATGAGGCTTGTTTCTCTTTCCATGATGTTTCCATAACATGAACCCTTCGAAGAAGACTCGATAAAGCTTTCTTCTGTTGAGAGTTTTCAGATGGGAAAGTTATACACTCGCGTGGGCTCATAGCCACGATAGCCATCTACATAATAACAAGTAGTTCCACAATATAGGTGCTGACTATACCTCAACTTGAGAGAAGTGAGGGGTATCATTGAATTCTGTTGTTAGGAGGCGCAATTCAGCTATGTCCCAAGCAGCCAACATTACGTGATTCTAGAAACTCGAGTAAAAAAATGGCTGATGTCAATGCCACTCACAGATTCTCCTCCCAGAAGCTTCACAGCCATGATGGTGGAAGCTCCAGCAGTTTCTCCCAAAATTTCTTCGAAATCTCCGATATTTCCCACGGTTCCCTTCAAAATAAAAATTTCTGTTGACTGAGATGGTATTTTACTTTAGCTATGATTGACCATTCATTGTTTTCAGCTGCATAGAGCTCAACTCTATATCTGAGAAGAAGGAGGAGTTCTCTTACTACTTTCTTATATTGACCGTTGTTCATTGTAAGATAAGGAATGCGGTCATCGCCTGATATGAAAAAATGATAAGGACTCTAAAGAGGAACTCCAACCTGATAAACAAACAGATTTAAGCAGCACATCACTACGGAAGACTTCATTAGCTAAAAAAGTGGCGTCTTCTCTATACACGGAGAAGTAATCCTGCAATCCTTTATTAGAAGTTTGTTTTCGAATCTCTTTTTTACTCCTTTATCGAAAATTGCTACTGTTCCAGATGCCTTGGCATTTAAAACTTTCAATAAAGATTTGTCGATTTGAGATTCCATCCTTTGAGGTTAGTTGAGTAGTAATTGAGATCTAGGGAATTCAATATTACATCATACATAACCATCCATAAGTACGCGCGACAATACGAGAAGAACTTCCAAAACACAGAATGACAGTTGGGTTTTATTGAAAACTATCATAAAATTAAGTTAGTAATAATAGTACTCATATATCAAGTAGGAAAGCATAAATTAAACGACGTAAGTACAGCAATGTTAATGCTTGATTTCACCAAAATAAGCCCATTTTTAGAAAGAATGATAAGACGAAGCATTTACAAGTTAACTAGTTAGAAGGTTTCTCCGTCATCTAGACTGATGCTGTGGACTTGCTCAGCAGCCTCTTCAGCACCCTCTTCGTTCTCAGGAACAGCACCATTCTGAAGTTTAAAGCTGATAAATCGAAGAAAGGATTAATGTTACATTTTCATAGAGAATATTCAAAATTTCTTGAGGATCCACTTGCTTTTGCTCAGCTACAATCATGGTACATAAGTCTTCTACACGACGAAGCTTATCGAAATAATAATCCCGCTCCCGCTCAATAGCTGTGCAGGATTCACCCATCTTAATTTCAATTATGTATTCATCAAAATGTAAGACCTTCACTGACCTCTTGTAGTTGTTGTTGGAGGAATCCATTTTCCTCTTCCAACTTTTGAGCACTTGTGTTCGAAGCAGGTTGAGAAGTGCGCTTGGCAACGCCGTTTGCTACAGGGGCAGCAGCAGCTTAAAGTACAAATAGTTTGAATAATTCAACAAGAACGCACCTGTTCTTGCGGGAGCCGGTCGGGTGGTAGTAGTAGTGGTAGTAGGAGCTCGAGATGGTGCCGGTCGGGCAACTCGAGGACCTCCGCGTCCTCCAGCAGGGAAAGCCTTAAACTCTTGTTAACTGGTTTTTTTTAGATGCGACCAAACCTCTCCTCCTCGGGCAGCAAGAGCATCATAGTCCTCACCAGTATAGTTAGCTTTAAAGAATTTGAAGAACCATTGAAGAAACTCGTAATTGTCTTGGAACTTAGCTTTCATCAAGCTTTCTACTCGTACAGGCTTTAAAAAGGTTTTTTTTCTGTATTTTAATCATCAAAACCTTGTCGATTCCTATCGCTTTCCAGGCCGTTTGAAGAATTTTCCAATTGTTGATATGATCAACTTCATTTTTGCTATTCCATTTGACCTAAACAAACGAAATAAGAAATCACAAAAGAATTAGAAAGTGAAGTGCCTTTTTCAAACTGATTTCTTCACCAAAGAGAAGGTGTGTTAGTTGACAATAAGCAGCACCAGTGGACATTTCCTCAATTTTTGAGAGGGAAGCCTTGAGAAGATCATTCACCCAAGCGAGAAGTTCATGTCTTGAAACATTATCAGTAGTTACAGCAGAAACATATACATTAACAACCATGGTGATCTAAACAAATTTTCCATTAGAAAAACTAAAATGCTGAGATTTGCACGACAAGCAGAAGGATTCATTAGTGATAGCGAAAGTCCAACAAATAAATTGGCTTCGAAAATGACAACGCGTCGAGAGGTTACCGCTTGGCGCGCGGGCGCCTTAAATTGACCAAACATGACCAAAATTGACCGATTACTCAAAAAAAAGAAACTATAATAACGGGTAGCATTAAAATAATGAAACTGATGAAGTATGGAAATTCAAATTAGGCGGTTAAGCTGTGTTTGAACATTTGAATTACTGTTTTACAGTCCTACCGTGTGTTTTATTCTCTAGAATTAGAGTTAGAGCGCGTCTTCTTTTGTCTCCGAAAAAAACATTTTGGATCAATGCTATGAATGTGTGAAGAAACTTCAAAGTTCAAAAATAACCTTCGTTTTGACTTGTTTTCTAATTGAATTAGCGGTTAATTGGATGATCTAAGATGAAAAAAATAAAAGTTTATTTAACAAATCATATGGAAATGTTTTGAGACAATACTGTAAAACCCGTTCAAAGTACATATCACAGTTATGGGACAAACAATTAAATAACATCAACAGCTTCCTGTCTTGAGCATTTGTCGGAATTGATGGTTTTACATATGAATCTGTTCTGAGGATATCAGCAAACAAGAGATCTGCATGGAAAATAAAATAGAATCGAGGTTTCTTCTCAGAAGTCTGTAGCATGTACGACAGACACAGGTTTAGTTGTTGGCCCTAAAGGTAAGGCAGTTTCTCTACGGATCACCCTCGATTTTTCTTCCATTTGGAAAACAAGCCAACGATAACAATCCATCACTACATGAAAACACCATATCTATAACAGCTATGTAGAAAGGATTTGTAGTTTTGACTTACATTTATCAGAGCTCCCATTATGTAGCCAATTGCTATGACAACAATCAATCCCGTAAGGAATTTCGATGTCAAAACGATTTTCAATGGAACGATAGATGTGAATAACTGAAAAAATCTAACTCTAATTGAAAAAAATCAGGAAATGAGGTTACGTTAGAGGCTACTTGAGTAGATATGCCCATTATAGCAATTCTAAGTTGTAAAGAAGTGCCGACGAGCAGAGTATACAAAGCTAATGATGTCATTCCAAATAAGGTTAAAACTAATAAGACCTGTAATCTGTCTGTTAGTCTTGGGATTAAAACTATTAAGGACACCTGCATGAGCATATGCGGAACTAGTAATGCAGGAACATTACAGAATATGCCAACCACCATAAGAACAACAGAAACGAAAGCAGATGCTACAGCCAATGATTGTATGGAAGCTGCCACGATATGAATTGAACCCGGAGAACTGAGATATGATATGGCAATCAAACCCTGTAATTATTAATTTCATAGATTTGATGAGCTTCAGTTCATTTCAAACAACAAAATAAAGGTCAAAACGATCAGATATCAGATTTCGTCTGAGATAGATTGCCTCACGGTCATGAATTCTGTAGATTTCAATCTGTTGAGTATCAAACGATTTATATCATATTTTTTCACGCTTGACCTAACAAAATGTTCTTTTTAATATCTTATGTAGTTGTTGACTTGTACTAATAAATCTAATGAACATAAAGCAACCGCTAATGTGTTTGCAACAACTCAAAATGAGTTTGGTCACGTGAAACAATGAAACACTCACACGTTCGTATGCTAATGAATCAAAATGACTGACCTGTGATAAAAGAAATACAAATTCCACTATGGCTATGAGAACAGCAATGGTCCTTACATGACTCAGCCCACAGAATCGTCTAGATTTACGATTGGATGTGTCTTCTGTCATTTGAAACTGAAACAAAAAAGGAAAGTTATTAAGTGAAAATGAATAGTTGGCAGTTGAGTGCTAGCAGATTTAGGGAAAAATCGTTGATAAATAACATCAACAACAATCTGAGAAAGGATGTTAGGGTGTGCGTATGTGTGTGAAGGGAGAGGGGGACACTGTTTCATTTCTCTCAATCATGAACTGTACGAAAATTGAAGAATTAATTGAAGGAAAGTAGGAGAAGATAAAACAGTGAGAGATAAAGAGAGAGTGATAGAGATGAAGAGAAAGAGTAAATTACATGATGAGGACTAACTACTAACCGTGGATAGAGAATGTTTCAATTTCTTGATAAGTGGTGGAATCTTCGAACGGATCCTTTGCAAGCAGACTTGCATGGGCAGTCAATGGCTAAAAGTTAGTATGTAAGAATTAAAAATGAGAACAAAAGGCGATGATGAAAAATCGGTGAGCGATACGAGAAGACCAAATAATTGGAAGAGATTTTATGAGGATAGGGAAGAAGAGAAGAAAATAGGATATTCGCTTGTCATAACTCAAATCACACAACAACATGCGAAGTCCATTGTTAACGAAATGCAGATTTCGAAAGAATTTGAATGGAAGGTATGTAGAACATGTATAAAAGTCAAAAGAGATGAGACAGGAGGACAATCGTAGAACAAGATTTTGCCGTTTTCTCTGTCGTAATCGACGTATCTTCGTGGAAGGCTTGTTTAGGTCAGTTGTATGTGGCAATTCACATCAAAATATGAACTTCAAAGACATTTTAAGTAAAAATGAATAATTAGAGAAACAGTGACAGTCAGTTTCATATTGATCTCTTCGGGCTGTGTTTGTCGTAAAACAGGAAGAGATCTTATTCTATACAAGGTCAATTCGAGTAAAAGGACAGAACTGAACTGAAGATCTCACTAAAATTGGTCATTTAGCGAAAGACTTAAACATACACATAGTCGGAATGCATTTGATTTCAACTCTTCTTCATCATTTCAAGATATGATCAAGTAATTAATCTGATATCAATTAAAAATAAGGAAACAGAGCTGGTTTGTAAGCTAATACGACGGTTGTGAAGAACCGATTGGCCTGTCTATTCCTTTTGAAACTTTGAGCGATAAAGTCACAGAGAGATGACTTATCAAATCATCATTCTAAGTTTCTAGATGATGAGAAGTTCTATTTAATCAAGAAAAAGAGATTGAAATAAATTGAATTAATTGAAAAAAGGTTGTCCAAGTTAGGAAAACGGTTCGAATGTGGCACTGTTGATGGACCTTGAAGGAGTAAAGTGACGATGGGTGGATGTTGAAAAGGTGTCTAAGTAGATGAAAGATGAAAGGAGGGCAACTATTGAGTTGAAGAGGAGAGAGAGATGTGGAAAATTGTTTTGAAGAAAGTTTGCTGAAGCATATACTCGAGAGAAACGACAAGGTTATGAGCGAAAAAACGGCTGCGAAGCTTAAAAAGGAGAGAAAAGAGAAAGTTGTTAGAGAGGATGAGATGGATTAAAAAGAGAACGTAAGCTTCAATAACTATCTCGCAACGGCTTTTGAATGTGAAAGAGAGAGCTATTGGGTATGTGTTACTATTTGACAGAAAATAGCACATCTGTGACATGGTGAAAGCAGATGAAAGACCGGTTGAAGAAGACAGCCAAATGGCTAAGGAAATGAAGGAGGTAAAAGAGGCAGAGAGATGACGGTTGGCTGCATCGTGTCATTCGTTCATTGTCTTCTTTCCTTAACAACTTGGCCAAACCATTAAAGTAAAAAGTAAACTGAGTTCTATCGAAAATACGTTAGACTACACGCGCATAACTACATTTACCTTTTGCATAAGTATGAACACTGAGGAACATAAAGGAACATGAAGAGGAACACAGAGAGTGGAAAAGAGAGTGACAGGTAGGCGGAAAAGGAAAGATGAAAGGTTAAGTTGAGCGAATCTGATGACATCGGCAGCATTTCTAACTAGTATTTCTCAAAATAAATGAAAACATGCATCGATATGCTAAGGAAATTTGGTGAGGAAAAGAACTGTGACGTATGAAGAGAAAGCAAGTCATGTCATAGAAACATGGAAGAAAATCGGAAGCTATCCTCCAGATTATTCATTCTTGATAATAAACTAGTTGTGAAGAGAACTTAATATGAACTTTCAGTCTTCGTCATCTAGGGAATGACCTATCAAAAGATGTTTTCCCTGTGCTTTTCTAGACAATTATAAAAGTTTAGAAAACACACCTGAATCGTCCCAATCAGAGGTATTCGTTGTTCGAACTTCGAATCCATTTCATTCCTCTCTTCCGTTCACCAGGACAATCGTCTATAAAAACAACAATTAGGTTTATTATTCCAGGACAACAATAAAACAAAAAAGTATCATTTGTGAGATTCTATTTGTGCGTTTACCGTAGATAGAAAACGACAATGAGACTAAGTAAGAACATTTAGATCGGAAAGAACAAAAGTTAACAAACTGAGTATGAAAGACAGGAAAACTCAGGCTTTCGATCAAGATCTAGATAATTCAAAAGCAAAATAACATGACTTCCCATTAAAGATATGGGAAAAGAGATAATTCGGTGGTGCGAAAGAGAGAAAACCCATGTTCGAGCTCAGACACGGACATCCTTAGAAGGTGTTCGCATGCAGCATTGAAGAAACATGCAAGCTGCTTCTACAAACTAAGAAAACATGGTAAAATTAAAAAAAAGTAAAAGAGAAAGAGTATACGACAGCAGGTTGGTCATAGATACTGAAAACCGGTATATCATATTGAATTACATAAGAAGGTAACTGTCTGTGTCTGCGTGATAAACAAAGATAAATTACTCTCTTAAAACGAAATAAAACTTATTTGAAGTTGAAATTGAGCGTTCTCAATGGTATGCGTTAACGAAATGAGAATAATCTCATTTGAACAATAAAAACGTAGATTGTAGAGGCTAACTGCTTGATTTTCTAGTTATTACAAAAAACTTGTAACCAGTTCATCTCATAGTTCTCTATGATTCTCTCTCTCTTTATTACTGCCTCCCTCCTCTCTCTTTCTCTCTCTTTGTTCCATTCTCGATTAGGCAGCTTGCTTTAATTTTTAAAGAAAAAAGAAACGTCGGAAAAATGAGGTGATGACCACACCATTACGAGACACAACAAACGAAGTATAAAGAGTTTTGAGAATCGTAATCAAATAGAAATGGTTACATGGATGTTTTCTAGTGATATTAAACATCCGTAATATTCATACTCCGTATTCGTAAGTAATAAATATTGTCGGATAGATATGATAAAACAAGACGAAAATGATTTTCAATCACCTGATTCCTCCACTACTCCTCTACATCTCGTCTTCACGATAGTCTATCAGCTCGACAGACTTTTATCAGGATTCTTCTTTCTTCTTAATCCTTTCAATGCAAATTTTCCCATTTACCACCTCTACGCAGATAAGGAGAACGGATAACTGAAGATGACATAGAGATAGTTAAGCATTAACGAGAAAGATAGACATCTCTGTCTTTATTTCAGAACATTTCATAAAATATAATAATTAAGAATTAGAGAAGAGTTCCAACTTTATTCAATAACAGGTTAATGGCGAGTATGAAATTATATCGTCGCTTCACGCGAGAAGAAGTAAAAGGAAACATTATACGAAGAGGAGAAAATTTGAAGAGACCCATTGGAGATCGATTCCCGCATGTTTATTGATAATACAATTCAAAGTTGAATCCTTCGTGAATCTCATAATCTTGAAGAGTGATGTGGTCTTTGTAGATGGTGTACCACTTCTTGAGCACGATTTTTTCGTGTCTAAATATACATAATACATGAGTTAGAACCCTGCCAAACCTTGTTCCTGTTTGCAAAGCAATCAATTTTTTTAAATCTCCGATCGTATCTTGAGGGTTACACTTTACACGGACTTTCTTACCGAGACGATCATTAACAGTTATCTCAATCATTCTATAACATCATTGTATGAAGATGGAATCCTTGAATAGTTAAAAACTCGGAGATAACAAAGGAATGCAACCGTGCTGAACGGACAAACGAAAACATAGCTATACTTTATTGTAGAAAGTATTACTACAAGAATGGTAAAAAATATAAAACTTGGAATTACTATTTCTTATACATTACAGAATTTGGAATGTTATCTGTTTCACTATCATTGTATGAGTGGAAAAAACTAATGTGTTAGCAGTATATACTACTACCGAAGGAGTAGTAGTGGGATTAGTATTTTCTTAAGAGAACTGTCCATGAAGCTTCATTTGGAGCTTGAGGTTATGGTGAAGCTCTGGGTCGATATCGCAAACCAATTGAAGGAGACGAACGATGACCTATAACATATCTTATTTATTCGAACTCTTTGATTGATGTTACCTGTTGCTTGTTAGCGGCAACAGTAGTCTTCATGTTGTTCATATCGTCTTCGTTTTCCTTACGGATCTTGGCTTCAATATCTTCCTTGGTTCCCAAGTAGGTGCGTTCGTACTCCTTGAACTGCTGATCACGTTCCTAAAGAAAAAAATTACCGACAAACAAATGAGATACCAACTTGTCTGTATTTCTCAACCTCAGCTTGAGCCTCTTGCTTGGCTTGCTTCATGCGTTGGAGCTTCTTCTTTCTAGCTTCATTGATTTTTTCAGCAGCTCTCTTCTCAGCAGCAAGAAGTTGTTGAATTCCTTGGGTTTGGGAGGCCATATCAACTAAAGAGCAGATTAATAACACAAAATATAACAGTGGAAAATATATAGAACAGCAGCGAACTGTTTGCGGAATGAATGAAACAATAACTCGTACTCTTTTAGAACTATGATAAAATAATATCACCGGTTTTTCCGGGAAACCCGTTCAAATTGTAACACTAAAATAAATATACAGTAAAATAACTACAAATAATTAGCTCTACATATATTAATAAATTAAGAAAGTGAATGAACTATGGCAAGAGTCGAAGGAACATCTACGAAAAAACGCTCGTTGGTGTTAGGATAGCATCCTTCGATAACCATTTGTTTCCCTCCTAACTCATAAATAGAAGGTTGCGAGACCCTAGAGAACAACATAGATGAGCAAAAATAGAAACAGGAATACCTTATTTGAAGCTTGAATTTGTACTGACCGCCACCAACTATCCGGGCATGAGAAACTGCTTTGTCTGGCCACCATAATAAACGTGAATCAGGAGCAACTTGATCCAATGAAAATACAGCTTCGGAAACTTTTTGCCGGAAGCGCAGAGATACGTCGATATCACGCTGATCAGTATCTTGATTGATAACTTCGACCACAAAAGACAGGTAACACAATCTAATATAGGAAAATAGGGAACAAAACTAATTTAGAGCTTACCGTGATGTTTCGAAAGAGTGCTCAACAGGTGTAATTTGCTCGCATAGAGCCAAGAGAGGTGCTTTCCCGTTAGAGTTTAACTCCTTGCTATTTTCTGACCACACAGATCCTGGTATAGGAGCATTAATCTCCATAAAAGGACAAGGTATGAAAAGTTCGCCGCACAATATAGAAACCTTAAAAGATATAATAGCTTTCATAAACCATCCGCGAACGTACGTGTCCATCATTTGCTACAACACTCGCTTTCCAAAAAATTGCTAGATGACGTTTTTCGAATATAACTTCATCGTCCTTTGGAGTAATTTGGGGAGCAGGCCATTGAGGTACGTGAATCTTATCAGCAAGCCAGAATTCCATATTAGCGTTATCATTCAAACTCTTGCTCATGAAAAAGCATATGTTTTGTGATTGTTCACCGTCTAACTGCACTATAAATTTGAAAATTTAACAGGAAACTAGCTCCCAGCTAACCTGGATGTCTTGAAACAGGGACCAGTTCGAGAAGCGATGGTACATCTTGCCAGACACCTTTTTTTGACAAATTTTGATAGATAGACTTGACACGAATGATATCAATTTTCGCCATTGCTGCGTCAGAGTTTGCTATCCGATTTGAACAATGTAGACTAACTAAACCACGTGAAACATCTGTAATGCTCAGATTAGTCATGATATATATCTACTGTTTGTCTAAGTACCTAACACATGGCTTTTGATATCCAATATCGGTGTTGATGTGAATGGAATAACAGTTCGCCAATGTCGTAAAGTTCCGAGACTTCCTTTATAGAGAACGAGAACAGCAACTGGTCGGTTGCTTTCGTTTGCACGAAGGTTCAAAACTGTTTTGACACGATCATTTTGTTCCAAAGTAGTTTCAAGAGTGAACACACGAACTGGTGGATTCGTAGGCTCGATTTTAGAAGATGTGTTCAATCTAAAAAAGGCAGAAAAGTTAGGTATATAGAGATGATCCAAACCTTTGACCGAGAGAGTCTTCAAGTTGAAGATCTACGCAATCTACTCCATCAGTTACCAACGTCATATGAGTTATAGTTTGATCACAAATATTCTCGATGTCGATAGTGAGCTTCACGTTTTGAGAGGTGTAGACAACGTCTTGCTGCGATAGAGCAACTTTAAAATTCAGGAGAGGCCATTGTTCCGAAGTGACGTTAGCCTTCAATCTCTCATCTGCGGTGTAAACCACTTCCTTCATCTGTAAAACAATTTGATGTCTCTTGATGCGAGCTTGAAATTACTTACCTGCTTCGCTGACTTATTAAGACGTTTCCCTTTGGATGACAGGGTTATTACGCCTGGTATAACGACTTCTTGCTCGTTATGAATATCAAAAAGAATTGAGTCAATCGAGAACGTTACTGTATTCTCATGAGGAGTTATCCAAAGTTCAACTTTTTTGACCTCTTCGGGTTGAAACACCAGAGAGGGCAGAGTATGCTGCGAGAAAATATGCTCTTCAGTAGCATTATTCTTGAATTTCAACACTTTTGCGGAAAGACGAACGTTGTGTATCGTCAATTCGATAACAAGAGGATTTTTTAGCTGTACTATCACACGGTATCTTTCACCCGGTGGTGTATCCAAAATTTTTGTGTTTTCTGTGCTATTGTCGCTAACAAGCTGGTTGAACCGGAAAGCCGTGGTGTTCCCTGCAAAACGTTCACATAACTCAAAAGCAGAAAAAAAGACACACCTGCGACATTATAGAATGCTGCTCTTTCAAGAGTGATCCAATCAAGGTCTGTTCGAGATGGTAACTCTTCAGACAAGGGTCTTTCTCCACAAATAACTTGTATATCATTTGAATATAGAACAGGTAAAGGTGAAGATGAGAGCTCATCCAAGCCTGTTTGAGCAATCGTGTCAACATAGAGATTGAGAAACTCTCTTTGTCTTTTTTCGGACTGCCAGTCGCTTCCTCTTAATAGCCGAGATGCACAGCTTTGCAAGAGTTCAGGTCCTCTAACTCCTCTAGCAAGCAATGAACACAAGTGATCTTCCACACCTTCCCAATTTTTTTCGAAATATTCAGGAAGGGCTTTCTTGTAACATTCTTAAAAATAATAAGAGTATCTGTATATAAAACTAAAGGTACCCATTCCGATGTTCTGAACTGTTCCGTTGCAGAAACGATTTCCAGCCAGTACATAATAAAATGAACTCTTCCTCAACTGAATCCCGCGGCGGAAATAACTGGCTGCCATAGCTTGTCCCACACCAACACATTGGTCATTATCCTGAATGATATAGGTATTTACTTAGGATAAAATCAGAAACTAACCAGAGTAGTAATTCTTGCAAAAAGGAGTGCGGCCTCTTTATACATTCCGAGATCGGAATAGATGCTAGCAGTGTTAACCGCACATCTCATAACAGCAGTGTACTTTCTATAAAGATTATAATAAGATTGAAAGCTATTCTGAAACTAGCCCTGAGTTATTCAGCAGCGCAGTAAGGCTGTTATCCAGATAATGATTTGGGAACTGTTTCCCTGTTATGCCCGGATTACTCAGATGTAAAGCAACAGCTGCCATTTCCTTAAACAGGAAAATATATGACTGTTGAAAATTTTATGAAACCATGGCTACTGCTTGATAGAGCCAAGCCTGTTCTCCTTCAAAATCTTTTTTCAAAGATCTATAATGTGAATGAGCCAAAGAGTATAAGCCAAATTGGAAAGCTAAATCTGCCAATCTTCTGCACTTCATTTCGGGGCTTTCGGGCCCATATCTAAAAATTAAAGAATAAGCTAGGAAACAGTTCAAAGACTTACACTTGATTCTGCGAGGCATTGTTCTGAGCTGCGCTTCCTCCGAACCATTTTTTCATTCCTATTGTTAGCGATTTCCCTATAGTTTTCCTATCCGTTAACTGATCTAATAACGTTCGCATTTGCCGTTCAACATGAGGAACCTTCAAATCAAAATTGAAATAAGATAGCAGGAAAATGAACTACCAAACACTCCTTAGTAAATGACTGTATCAACTTAGTACACGATTCTCGATCACTCAAAGAGCTGAGCCTTGTGCTTATGTTAGTTTGAAAACCTTAATATCTAACTGAACTGAATTACTTATCCTACTACTTACTTGATTCACTTGTTGGCGAAGACTGAGAAGATATGGATGGAGATTGAACCATTGCATAGGACGGTGATATAGTGGACACAACAGTAGGCTGAAACGGAAATTAAACTTCAATTCTCCCCTTCACTTTTACCGGTGTATCTCTTTTATCACTTATATTGGCATTCCGCGCATTTTCAAGCGCTAATGCTAAACCTCTTTCCAGAATAGAATTCATTTCATCATAAATCTGCCATGCATCAGGCAGACCATCACTAGATCCAGAGCCGATTTTTAAAAGTTGACACGACTGAACGCCATATGTTGCGCACATTTGATTATATATATCATTAGTTCTAAACAGAGATGTTCAAACGTCAACGGATGAAGTTATCACCTGCTTTCATCATCACGTGCACAATCGTGAAGTAACACGTAATGCTTTAATGTATTGGGAATAGTCCATTTAGGTCTGCTACAATGCGAAGGGCTCAGCGATTTAGCTTCAGAATTAGAATGCTGAAATAAACTGCAAGTATGTTTGATAGAGTCAATTATTGATTTCTGATCTTTAGTCATGAAAGATAAGCCTTGCGAGAGATTCAAAACAGGTATTTAATAAATGTTCGATATGTTTCATTGAATTTGAATTCAGTTCAGAAAAAATTAAGTGAATGGAAATGAGTGTAGAAAAAAATAGAGTAGATCTTCATAAAAAAAATTACCTGTTCTGTGTGCTGATTCTGAATTAATTTGCTCAGTTCGCCCATAGGATTTTCTTCACAACCCGAAACCACAAAAATACATGCAAGGTAAGTTCTTAGAGTTTCCTGATCACTAGGTTCAGCCCAATATCGTAGGCATTTGAAATAACTCTTCAATACATCATCCAAGTTAGTTCTATTCTCTAAAGCCTGGAGAAAAACACTTAAACGGTTTTTTTTAAATATCAACAAACTTCATGCAAAACGTATGGCAACACTGACAAGGAGAGCAAATGCCCTTGTCTCTTGATATCGCGGATATCGAGCGAAATCTTGTTGGAAACATACTGACCATTGGAAGGATCCTGAAAAGCAAATTTACAAATAAAAATATATAAATTAGTTAAAATGGATATATAGATGAGTTCTTCTATTCCATTCAAAATAATAAATCAATCATATTAAACAGAATGAAATCATGGAGGCGGTATGAGGAACGAAGTAACAAAGATCAATTTTTGCCCTCTAGTCTCGCAGACCTTGCACTAGACACTTACACGAATATCGATATTCACAGAAGAAAACGGTGAAAGAAGTTGAGCTATCGAAGTGAATCCTCGACTTAGTACTCTGGAATCTGCACCAGGAGAAGCAAGTAAAGCAATCAGAGGGTTTTCCATGCCAGTCGACCCCGGTCAGGGAACCAACGACCAACGGTCCCTGAAACACAGGGAAATCGATTAAAGGACTTGTTTACTATTAGAGCGCGTTTTACTGACGCTGAGTATAAGCACAGAATAGTTTAAAGAGTAAATTCGAAATAAATGTCCCACAATAGGAATATCAATTGAATACAAGAAAAGTGATTATTTTCTAATAAACATGACTTTATATTAATGAAGAATACCCGCGATCATGACAATACTAAAATTTACCTAGAAAAGAAGGTGATAAATGTAGAAAGAAAAAGTAAAAACATGAAAGAGGTTTGACAGAAAGCTAAAAAAAACGATGAGTAGTTTGAACACAACCGCTCGTGCCGAGACTGTGATTGAAATGAAAAAAAGCTTGTGTTTATTGCCACGTCACATTGGAGGCATATGCTAATTCGGTTCCAATTGGTTTGTATACTTTCAAACTGTCTCTTTCATTTGGGGGATAATTGAATAACAGAGTTATCCTCCCTCTCGCTTTGTAAGCTTCACACGTGTTTTTTGTTTAGCCACATTTCCACGAAGCAGAATCAATACTTTGCAATCAGATAAGGATGAAAAGACCTTCACCTGACTTTCGATAAGATGACCCCGTTCTGAGAAAACCATTGCTCATTTCCGTACAAAATCTCTATAATGTCTCGTTAGTAAAAAATAGCTTCGAATTGTTTAAGTTTTAGATGTCTCGATTCCTTATTACCGGAGGATCAGGATTGATAGGTTCTGCCATCACAAACCTATTACTCCAAGATGAAACTACTACGGTTGTAATTCTTGACAAGAATTCTCCTGCTTCGGTATCCATCTCTGGTTTGATATTCTCAATTTTGAATTTGAATTTTTCAGCCTCATCCTTCAGAGCGCCTTCATTTTGTTACCGGTGACTTCACTAATTCCGAACTATTATCAGATATTTTGAAACAATTTGATGTAAGCATGAATTGAGCACACTTTTATAAGCGTTTTTTGCTGTTCAGATTAATCGAATCATTGATTGTGTTAGTCAATCCAGGAAATCAGTTGGAGTTTCACCACGACTTGGAGCTCAGATAGCTTTACAGGTGACTCGAAACAGAAAATTTGACATCTGAATATCTTCAGGGTTTAACCAACTTGTTGGATGTTGTGAGAGAAAATGGAAGAATTGAATCAATCGTATTGTTAAGTAATCAAGCTGTAAGTTAATGATTCAAAAACTGATGAGTTTATGGATTCAAGGTTTACGGACGTGAAAAACAGGTCGAAACAGCCCCTTTGGCACCCATAACTTTCTTTGGAGCAGCTCTGATGGGAGCAGAAGCAATGCTCCATTCTTATGTTATTAGTTACAAGTTGCCAGCAGCTATTGCTCGTCTCTCAGAAGGCATTATCGAGTATTTGCCACGGGATATTGAGAACTGTACGTTTGTTTTGGATGAAAACAGAAAAAAACCTATTGCAGTGAGTAACCCTGTCAATTTGATAACTGCTCGGAATGCTGCTGCGGCTATAATCAAGATATCATCAGTCGCTCAAAATGGTCGAATCTATAATGTTGGAGGTCCTAATGATTACGATTTGAGCGCTCTTAAGAAGGTTTGAATGCTGAGCGCGTCATTTATAGCAAAATGTTTTCAGGCTCTTTCATCCGCGCAGTTGTCTGTCTTGAAAGAAAGTGAGACAAACAGCTTGTTCTCCACAGAACGTTTGCGAAATGAACTAGACTTCATCATTCAAAATGACTTTGACAATGGTAGTTCGCTTCGCATATACAAAACTGAAATCTCTTTCAGAATTCGAATCACTGGTCATTGATACTGAAAACAACAATTTAAAAAACACTGCCCTACTCTTCTCTGAAAAAGCCACAAACTTGCCTTCTGTTGTTAGTAATTTCGTGACAGAGAAAAAAATATCGAAAGCAGAATCGTCACCAGGTATCGAGAAATTTGAGAAAAAAAACTAGAAATCGTACTTTCAGGATATGATGATGATGACACAGTGAAGAAAGAAATTATTCACAAGAAGCCAACAATTGTGTTATGGGTGGCGAACCCTAAAGGTGACTAGAAACGTTTGACTCTTAAAACCGTATTGGATTTTAGAAAACATTGAAGCCTTTGAAGGAGGACCTGATGCGTTAAAGAAAAATATGAACGAACACCTACTGGGTCCTTGGCTTGTCTCATCCTACTGTCATACAATGGGAATAAAGTTTGTTTTTGTTAGCCTTCAGGTAGAGAAACTTCAACATGAATATTCTCATTTAACGTATTTCTAGGATGATGTGAGTGAAAATACCTCCTTCCAAGCCGTTAAAACGTTTGTGAAACCGTTGTTAAGCCACTTCCCAAACACAATCTACTTGAATTCTTCAACATCAACTTTTGAAAAAGACGTATCCGAACATATCAAACTATGAAAAATTAAAACTAATGTGTCATCTCAATAATAAATTCATTTGAAATCGAGGCAGAGTTCGACGTTTGAATGAAAATGGATCGCGTTTACGATTTGAATTCAAAATCCGCTAGACAGAACACTAATTTACAAACTTTTCTCATGTCAAATAACTATATGGTTTGTTACTTATCTTTTATTATCGAAAAATTGAAGTATAGGATGATGATGATGATGATATCATCTGCATTGAAGACAGTTTCATACAACCTTTACGGACAGTTCCTCCAAGAAAACAAGAATCACCCCGGTATCACCCGTATATGTTCAAACAACACTCAAATCCACAACTTAGAATAGAAAATGCGGATCAAAGTTTCGACAGATTCTTGATGGAGACAATTGAAAAGGCTAATGGGAAGGCCGACGAAATTCTAAAACCGAAAAAAGCCAAGAGTTCTTCCACACATCAGACTAAGGTTTTCGAATTTTTTATTATGTAACTTATTCCGCTTAGGAGATGAAGGAAAAGGAGAAAAATGAAAAAAAAATAGCAAGGGAAAAGTTGAAGGAAGAGAAAGAGGTAAGCTTGCTTCGACTCCTGTAGCATCTCGATTTACTTAAGAGAGAGAAGCTGAAACGTAAAATTGAACGCGAAATATCGGCATCGGCCAACACTAAAGCGGAACAATACATATATTGCCACTTAGGAAGTAGTATATGTTCCACTATAGGTGTAAGCTCCATAAGTTTCTTTAAAAAAACTTGAAATTCAGATGATCTATCAACTCAAGCACAAGCGGTTTTCCTAGAAAGAAAGCTAGAAAATCAACTAGTTATTGATGACAAAATTGGAAATCAAATTTATTGGTATAGGAAATGCATAGAGTTAACGGAAGAAGATGGAAAAGTGGAGAAGTTCGAATATTTTGTAAGTTCCCTGACTCATGCGCACGTCATGATTTTCTATGACAGAGCCATCAACACATATTCGCTGTGTTCATTGAAGGAAGCGAGTTAGAGAGGATTGTGAAAACAGGGAAAGTCGAAGAATTCCTATTGTCTAAAAAGGAGGACTATCCCCTACAGTCAGCTGATTGCCTGATTCTGTGTTACGGACCTCACAACATTCAAAGCAAAAAAGTAACGGAAGACACCAAATAGTGTACAAACCTCTTTGCAGATGATGGAACTCAGCATTGATGTATTCGAACGAACTAACTCACAATTCCATTTCTTTAAAACATCAGCTGAACTTTCTCTCTTTTTAGCTCAGGTCTATTTCACTCTTTCGACAGTAGTAGTAATGGGAATGTTGGCAGGTCCTTCGCTCGTTGTCGAAGAAAGTTCACACTGACTCCTGTTCGGATAAGGAGATGAACATAGCTGTTGAAAAAGTAAGATCATCATACCGTTCATCGTTACAGTTTACTTACTTTTCAGGGAATTCGTGATGATGATCGTTCAAGAGTTGTAAAAGACTGGTGGGATAAAATGCTCCAATGTTTGTGGCGTTCTTCAGATATTCAAAGGTTGGCTATTCTGAAACATATGAAGAATCCCTTTGAAGCCAGCCAAAAGTATCGGAAGGTAGCACAGGAACACAGTTTGAAATATTATAAGATGTTTATAGATGGGATATATAGAGGCATTACAAGAAATATCAGAAATTCAATGCGAAAACGGAAGAAGATTGGGACCCGCAATGGCACATCGACTTCTCATGGTTTTAACAGATTCATCAGGAAAAGAAATAGCGGAATAATGTAAGCATAATTGAAATAATAACATTTATTATTATTTAACATATAACATGGCAAATGTTCTCACCTTATTCGTTATCGTATGAAGTATACATGTCATGCAAATAAAACTCGTATTACAAAATGGTTGATATTCAAATTACAGCGTATTAAAGATGTACAAGTAGGAATTAGGAATTGTTAATCTAAAACTTATATAAAACATACTATTAACATTTCATTTGGGCTTGAAGACCACCGACGTCAGGGCTAGAGAGCATCCCACTGACATCTGAAGAGAGATCTTGGAGATATTCAAACTCGGCTAAAGCATTTCTTTCGTTTTTCCCATATTTTTTATAGTGCCTTGCTTGCACTTGAGGTCTAGGAGGTTGGAATTTAACTAATCCCCCTTTCTTTTTCAGTTGTCTTTCGATAACCTTATAAGCTTCCTCATCGGAAGATTCAGAAGTCAATTCAGATTGAAACTGAGCTTGTGCCTGAAAATCGAAAGTTTACGAATATACTCTGAATGATATGACTCACTTTAGCGTAGAGATCTTTTTGAAACGTCCGTTTAGGCATTACACTATTATTCAAATTAGTTCTTGGTTCTTCGGTTATGGTAACTGCGGTGAGATCAGTATCAGAAAGTGATTTTGTGAGTTTTGGTGTCTTTAGTGGAAAAATGTTCAGTTCAACGGGAGAGCAAGCATCTCTTGGTTTTTCGATAGGAGGAGTTTCATAATCATCATCGCCGTCCTCCACTTCTACTGTCCGAAATATTCGCATCTGTAATACAGAGAGTTAGAAAATATTTTCAAACAGAAATAAACCTCATCCTGAGCATCCAGATCATTAGTTCCTTCCTGGAACATAGAGATACTGGGAGTACTCGAGTTAACCATATCATTGAGATCACCAATGTGCTCCCCCATTGCACAAAGTGCTTCTCCCGCACCAGTAGTTCCGTTACATACACCACCTAAAAGAGTTGTATAATATATAACAAGATCAAAGCTTACCAGAATCGTAAGAGCACATAAGTAAAGAGTTTTCATTTCCCGAAGCTAAAAGGTCTTCTAATTCGATTACTCTTGTGTTGGCTTGTTGTAAGGCTTTTTTTAAACGGATCATCTGTTGTTTTTCCAAGTCCAAACTTTTTTTAGCATTTAAATATGCTCGTGATTGTCGCTCGAAATTTCTCCTGATGAAGCATATGTTGAATTGATTTGACTTGTAAAAGTTGCTTACTTATAATGTTCAATTTCATCTCTACTGATTTCCAGCTCTCTCTTAAGATGCTTAACATCCTCATGGTACCTTCTTTGCATCTTTCCTAATTTTGTTTCTAACTTAAAAACAACGGTAATTATTTTCAATACACTAAACTAACCATTCTTATTCTTAAGTCATGTTCTTCTTCATCCGATTCGGGAAAACTTTCGTAGTACTGATCTCGTTGTGGTTCTTCTTTGATACTTCTATTAGCAATATCAGACATATAATTTCTTTGACCATAACTGTAATATTCTGAAGTTGAAGCAAAAAAACCATTCGGACACTTACTCATTTCTTCTGTGTACTCTTAAATTTTCATAGCGAACAGAGTTGTTCAGATGCCTATCATTGAAGGGACGAGAACTACGGCTGCTCCTTTCCGAACGGGAATCCATGGGAGCTCCAGGACACGATCTTGGTCCTACAGACAATTACGATTTGAAAACTATACAGGATTCGAAAAATTCACCTTTGTTTTTCTTTGGTGCTGTTACAACAGAATACGGATTTATTATGTGAGCGTTTTTAACTTCTCCTGCGTATACACCTCCATTGAAAGACTCCATCATAGAAGAATTTCTGAATGAATCTCTATCGATAGTTCGATCCCTGTTCTCTCGATCCTGAAAAGTTTATTTACGAAAAAGAATGCTTTGAATGTATATACCATGGAGGGTACATTTTCCTTATTGTTGTTCTTTTTCGTGGATTTGAACATACGCATAAAAGACATCTTGTTAGTTTAGTTTAATCTAATGCATTAAATAAAAAAGTTTCTGAAAATAGAAAGTAATAAGAATCACCAAAGAAGAAAGCTTTTTAAGAAACAATGAGATAATCAAATACAAAGGCTTTAATCTGAGAGACAGTTTTTTGTAGAGAACGGCGTGCCAAAAGAGACGCTATTATGGAGATGTTCTACTTTCGTTGTGGGACCCAAAACAGTTCAAGTGTCACTGTTCTATTAGCATACCAAGGGCTAACCCAACAGCATAACCTCAAGACGTACTATGAACAAAGAGTGTTCTTACATTATATCACACTTTCCTCATAAAAAAAAACGAAACAAAAAGAAATGATATATCAGAAACATTTTTTTATCTTAGAAAGATTTATTTGAATTACAACTTTCTATGAGACATGGCATTTTACTACCGAGCGAGTTGAAAGCAACCGTTCAGGCGCTGAAAATCATTTCCTGAATAAGTTGTGTGGAAAGGGGTCGTGTTGGAGATCAAGCAAGATTCTAACTAGTGCATGGATTGGACCATATTCCTGTATATTTTCCAAGCACTTATAGGTGGTTTGATTGATCTCTTAATTTCTATTTTTGAATCATTCTCTCTAGTTGGCATGTTCTTGAAATGTTTTAAAGTATCAAAAAACAAGAAATTTGAATCTTCTTCTCAGGTACGTGAGATCTTCTTCGATGATAAGAGTAGAAACAGAAAAATAAACAAGCGTTGAATTCTCCGGCAAAAGATTCAAGAAAAGTGGAAAAGGGCGAAAAGAAAGAAGAAGTTCATTGTTTTAGTTAAATTGATCTCAATAACCTTGATTTGAGCAGAAAGTGCAAACTCCAACCACGCCTAAACCAGATCCAGATGAAAAGAAAATGACATCCAAGGAGGTAATAAGAGTAGTTTCGCGAGACTTATTTGATGTTAACATAGGAGCGAATTGCACAAGGTAAAGAAGTAAGAAAGAAAACGGATTACGCAACATTCTTGGATGTTTGTAGTGACTGGGAAGACACTTCACACAGTGTTAGTATGAAGTTATTATCCTCATTAGTTGTATTCAATCATACAGGATGCGAAAAAGGAAGAAGGAAAAAATGTGAAGCAAGTGAAGAATGGGAAAGCAGTGAAAAACGATGAAGCCAAGATCGAGCCAAAAAAAGGAATTGAGAAAAAACCTGAAAAGAAAAGTGAGAACAAGAGTGTGGAAAGAGGCAACAAGGATAACGAAAGGAAAAGTGAAAAAGAAAGCAAAGACGAAGATGACAGCACCCAAAAAGAAGGTGGGCAAGGCAAACCAGCGGCAGGCGTTGCCAGAGCAGGAGAATCATCAACAACCCGAGATACAGAACCCGATGCAATTGGAGCGACCAAACCAGCCCAAACAGATCATACCAAAGAGAAAAAAGCAAAAAAGAGCAGCAAAACAGAAAAATTGAAGACCGTTTAGGTATTGTTAGAAGTTATTGTTATAAATATTCTCCAGAATGGTAATTTTTTAAAATTATTTATAGTATATTATTTACAGATTGTTATTGGTTTCCTTCTGGCTAGGTTGCTGGATTGGTGCTATGCTCTGAAACAATCTCTTACTGTAGAATGCTGGGCAAAAATTTACCTTCGAATAAGATAAATAGTTATTAAACACTTGTAAGAAGCACATGTTGAAAGCTACAGTGATATGTAGGGTAATAGCTCCTAGATACATCCAGAAGGGTCCTAACTTGGAATAAAACTTCTCAGCGTTTACAAAACGATGGGGCAGGTTCTCAACAAAACTGTTACGATTTCCTAAAAATCTTCATTATAACTTTCAATAATCAAATCTTACCTATTGCCATAATGAGCACTACTGAGACAGCTATCAGATCAGTAAAGAACATTACTCCACTGATGATCATAGTATGATATTGAACTAATGAAACTGCTCCGCTCATCACACCCGCAATCGGAAATTATGATCATTATCGCTGTACACATGTAGAACACTTACAGATGCACATATTCCCAGAAAGTAAGCCAATCCTACTACAGACATGACTGTACGGAAATAGATAACATTATAGAAATATCCATTTAATTCCATATAATAATATGTAATTCCAATTATGATGATCAAGAAAATCTGTCACAGGGTTACATAGTGTTAGAGTATAAGAACATTACTTGGAAACAGCATGCCAACAGAACTGCTTTAGTTATATGGAAAAGTTCACAGCAAGCTGTAGGATAAAACGGTCGGCAACGAGATTCTTTCTAAACATTTCAGCTGAGATTCATTATCAAACAACTATATTCTACACGTCCTACCCGAGATTTTATGAATCGATGCATCAGTCGTGCTGTACGTGAAAGAAATTTCAACGAAATCGATCAGAAAACTCGAGACGTAAGTATCGAAAGTTATAAACAAGACTACCTTAACATCGGCAGTGTACGTCATTGGTGCCACAAAATTTTTACAGCAAAAACAACCTTCCTAGAACTCAAGAATTTCAATCAATTTGGTAAGGAAACAAACTAATGCATAGAGAAAAGTTTAAGTGACCTCATTTCAAGTCATCAATGGATGGGAAAACTGGATTCAGAGGTGACACATATTCGTTCTTCATCTGAATACAAGCCATATTCGGATATACACTATTGATACGACACTGTTTTGATTATAACACGAACAAAAGTAACATTTATTAAAGCTTATGATATTAAAGTTAAAACTCACTGTGTTGTAAAAATAATAGTACTTTGTACAAACAGGAAAATAGTGCGAAGACTATAAAAGTAAAATTTAATTATCTAAAAAGTGGCTAGTGAGGTTTGTGCAATTTTAATATTGTTCTAAGTGAGGCTGGTAGTGTGGCCCAAATTTCGGGTTTTTTTGATATTGTGGTGAAAAGTAAAAAACAGGCGAGAGCAGCACTCCCATGCCATGGGAAAGTGTAGAGTTCAGAACACTCTTCCTGAAATGAAGTTGTAGTGAGTGAGAGTTATTCTGGTGAAGTGCTTACTTTGAATTTTAACTTGGAGATGCCGTCGAACAAGTCTCGGAAAGTGAGTACTGTTCCTGAGTCAGATTCAGTTGCGGACAGAGACTTGTTAGCAATTGTCTGAACTTGCTTGACGACGTTG